AGAAGGATTTCTTCTTTGCCTTCCCAGTTTCCAGCAATAAACTGGCTTTCTGAGCTGGCCCCTCCATCATACCTACAGTGGTTGCTAGCTGCTGAGTGGAGAGAGAGAGACTCAGTTGTCATAAGCTTGATCTCAGTGACATCTTATGGCAATACATTTTACATTTTAATGATACAATAAGTAAAAGGTATTTCCTTTCGTTTGCTTTAAATGTTTTTATTTGGTTAAGCCTCTACCTCCTTGGATACAAAGAAATCGCCACAGCAGGGGGGTTGGAACTAGATGTCCCTTCCAAACTAAACCATTCTATGATTCTATGAAACAGAGTATAATGCATCCCTGTTTACATCCATTATACTATTTATGATTATGTAGACTTAACATGCCCACTCCTCCAATCTATTTTCTAAATGATGAATCCTAATCTATTTAATCTTATCATATATAAAACCGTGCCACATCTCTAGTCATCTGTGCTTTCTTGCTCTCTTCTGGTTCTATGATGTCATTTTTTAATTTGGTGAGGCAAAAACTACATGTGATACTCTAGACATGAGAACAACATGGATCTGTTACAGTGGCATAAAATGTGTCTGCTTTATATTTTGTTAACAGCCCTTAAGTCCTTTTTAAAGACGGGTACAACATTTCTTCTGGCATCAAGGCTGACATAAGTGACAGGTTATATGTTACAGTAGTTCAGAAATGTCATATTTGAGTTCCTTTAAAACACTTTTTGGGTGAACATCACCTTATGGCAATTCTTATTATTTGATATTATTTACGTCTTCTAAAACACATTCAGATGATGATAGACATTGAGGAAGTTCCTCAGACTGTGAGAATCTTCTTTGTTGTGAACATCAGTGGAAACCGTTAATTTAGTATTCAGCACTTTTATACCTTGATTGCCTATCTACCCAATCATCTGTCTGGGAGGCCTCCTGCTTCTAGTTTGTTTTTTTTTAACAAAAAAAGAATTATTAACTTTCATGTCTGTAGCAAGTTGAATCTCAAAATACTGTGGTTTATATTTAACTTGACAGATTTTATGTGCTTTTTTTTCTTTTTTCTCCCTATCTTTCTCCATTGAGACAACTTGCACTTTTGAAGGGTGTCTTTCCAAAATCTCCATTCGGCTGTTTTCGGTTGGGTGTTGTTTTGTTTGTTTGTTTATAAGATAGTTGCTTTTTCTAATTTTCTTTTTTTAAATTGATTGGTTAGATGTAATTATTATGAGTCTCTCATACACTTTGTCTCTAGCCTGCCTCCACGTTGTTTGCATTAAATCTTTTTAGCTGTTCTTTTCATTTTCCTTTTAACTAACTTTCTCATTTTTATCTGCTTACTCGCTGAAAGTTAAATATTACTGCAGTGGATTTTTTTTGTCCTTTTCCTTCTCAACAAGTAAGTTGACTTTCAGTCCAGAAGTGGTTCTCTGATAACTACTTCTGGAATCGGATCCTATGTACTACTCAGAACTAAATCAGCTTCTCTTCTTGTGGGTTGTCTGATTACTTGCTAGAAGCAGCAGTCATTTATGGTATGTAAAAGCTTCATTTCTTTTGTCACTTCCTGATTTAATGCCGCATGTGTTGGAGCATGGGAAATTTTGCATTATTGTGTAAACTCTCTGCTCAGCCAATGTGATTCCACTTACCCTGTTGCGTTTATGTCACCATCTCCATCGTGTGGTCAGCAATGCAGCCCTAGCATTATACCCTCCTTAGTCAGGTGTGAGTTTTGTAAATAGTTACTGGAACATGTTGATAGAATTAACTTACCTGGTTTGACCCTAAACTTCTCTTGATTTATTACTTGAATTCCCTGGGGACACTTTGTGTAATCCATTCATACAGTGTCCCTTTGATACTCTTCCTTCCTCTAATTTTCAGTCTATCTTTTCCATCTAAGCCTAAAATATTTTAAATTTTAAATTGATTTGAATTTTGGGGTTTTTTTTTTATATGAGTGTGCTTAAATAAGATACAGCTTAATATAGTTGTATAAATGAAACACTTGGTTTTTTGGTTTGTTTTTTTTTTTTCACAAAATAAAAAGATCTTTTTTCTCAAGACAGTCTGAACTTGGGAAATTTGCTCAGATTGAACAAGAAGCCAAATGTCCATTTCCATATCTTTCCCAACTGGAACTTCTGTTATTTCCAATGGTCTGCTTCTGCCATTTTTCTGTGGCCAATAAGACCTTATTATACCTTTTCAAACTACTGCTTATGAAATACAAGACCATTCTAGGCTATATTCCAGCCGTAGCCTAAACCTTGATATAAAGCTGTTTTCTGTACCTGTCTGATTTGAAGTCAACGTGAGTTTTGTAGGAGAGCGCAGAACATTTTTTCCCTGCTCTGCTTGTGAAAGACACTGAGTAGTCTGTTGTTTACTTGCACTAACAATATTTCCGCATTTGTCTCCCACATAGCATTTATTTTATATTTTCACTCTATCTTATTGACTATTTTGTGATTACATTTATTCCCTTGTGCTGCCACGTTCTATGGATAGTTTGTTCTGCAATATGTTTTGACACTCAAAGTGAACTTATTGAATTTCTCTATACTTGGTATTACAAGAGAGCTTTTCTCCTCAGCAGTCGTATGTGTCTGACAGCACTAGCCCTTTTCTTCCCCCTGTTGTTTAGATCATCTTTGGCAGTTATGTTCTTTGCTCCATCAGGCAGAGTTGTCTAAGACTGTGCTGGGCTGCCATCCATCAAACCCTGCTCGCTTTTTGTCAGTCCCTCCACAACCAATAACCTGTACCAGAAGTGGTTGACACTCAGCAAAAACCGCCGCCCAGCTGTTACATGACTTCCCTAATTCGCAGTTTGACTTGAAACAAAGGATTGACTAGAACACGGGGAACATTGGTGGTTCTTTTCAGTCAACAGGCAGTCTCAATCAGTTTACTGAATTTCTCCTGCAGTGGGTCCCCCTCTGAGAGTACAGCCTCTGTCTCAGCAGCACGACCTTAATCCTCCCTAAATGGGAAAAGACTTATGAGGCATCACTGCAGCACAGCTGCCCCAGAAACAGTTTCTGGCAAAAAAATATGGCACCTGAAGTATTGCACTG